GCTTCAAGGTCTCATCCCATTTGTTAAACCCGTTAGCAATTAAAATTTTCGACAAGTGAGTCCAGTCTGGTCTGAATAGCAATTACTCCTATATCCAAGTGTCTTGTTGCGAAACATGAAGATGGACAGCATGAAGCTGAGAAATGTAACACGAAAAAAGCAGAATCTGAGTACATTACCTTTCAGAAGAATCTCTAATTGTACGGAAAGAGTGTTCAGCAAGTTCTCTCCTCGTAGAATTACCCATGAAATACTGAGGGTTGTAGCAAGTATGTAACTAACAAAGTTTTATAAAGAATTCTAACGCAGCCACAGACGAACGGGATTATGTTGGAATTTTTTAAAGTACATTAAATCAAGCTCAGAGCAGGAATGGCCAGTTTATTAACTTTTACGAGCAGCTACCAACACCATTAAAAATATTCAACTGCACATCTGTGCGTTTCATGAAATATATCTCTGCATTATCATGGTGCGATCTCCGCCGTAAGTGTATAAGTTTACATCTGGATGAAGAGCAAATTGTACCGATCCGACCCTGCAGTCCCACAATTACTTTATCTCGCCAGTAAAACCGCAAACCGCTGCCTCTGTTCTACGAACGCGGACATATGTTTAGACGAGTCGGTCGTGGAACTACTACAAAGTTGTATTTTACTAGATGACATCATAATTCTAAAGGATGAGTAAGGCCAATGCATAAAGTAGTAATGGTTAAATTTCATGCTTCAACCATCGGCCTCTTTCATAATACCAACGTTTACAAAAATGTAATGACCGAAATTATTATAATTTCGCAATTCAGAATTTCTTCTGTCTTGGTACATTCAGACCTCCCACTCAGACGAGATTTAATTGGTTTTCTAGTGACAGCGGCTGAGAAACTGGTACATTTTCCATTTATGCTCTTTCCAGAAATGAGCCACAAAACCAGCCATGCTATTCTTTCAAGAGTGTCAAGTCAAACAAAAACTTAATCATCAAAACTACTTTGAAGGAAGCGAGGACAGTTCCAGATAGCACCTAGCACCAGCCTAAATGTGGAATTAAACCTTTCGCATGTGTGTAAAGATGTATCGTCATACCTTTTAATAGCACGAAAATCGATGGGTGCAGTGGCGAATTATCCATAAGGCACAATAGACTATGGTCTGGTGGCCAAAGGTTTGGCGTTTGGGAGGCCCTAGGTTATATAACAATGTTCACAGACGGTTAGTTTTCTCCAGCAAATGATTTATTTATTTATTTATTTATTTATTTATTTATTTATTTATTTATTTATTTATTTATTTATTTATTTATTTATTTATTTATTTATTTATTTATTTATTTATTTATTTATTTATTTATTTATTTATTTATTTATTTATTGCTCTTGAACATGATTTTTTGCCGATGCAAGAAACAAGAAAGAAGTGTGGCTGCGAAAAAGCATGCCAACATTCCCAGAGGAACTGCCTCTGACTGTTTCCCTACAGGAGTTCGATGGAGAAGGTATTAGAGAAAAAGAAGACGAGGATGAAAGTTCTTCCCACTCCAAGAGAGCAAGAGAAAGAGACAGCACTCCGAAGTAAGGTTGCCTGATTGGTCCATGCGTTTTGACCACTATAGCGTCAGAGCCCGGCCGTTTAAATACCAGTCACAGGGCCGCAACAATTCATTCGGTTTCGATCGCGTCTCGATTCAATCTTGATTCTCGGAACCAGTCGAGCCGAGGACCGTAACACTGCACCGTCGCCGCTCTCACTGAACTACTGGAAAATTCATTTGAAAAGTCATGCCTGAGGCAATTTCTCTCGCTCATCTAATTGTAATGTTTAAAGGTGCCATTCCTTTTTCATTTGATTAACGTTGCGTTTCCAAATTATATCCCGATTTTCAATTTCTACTAGATAACAAGATATTCCTAATCGTTTGACAACTCTTCAAAAACAAGTTGATCTAACTTCCTATAATCTTTAACACATACTTCTTCTCCTTCACTAAAGAAAACATTAGGTTCGCCGCTATAATACTGTAGCGTATATTCCACAAATGTAGAACGACATCGGGGCGCCATCAAGTTCCTGGCGATAAGAAATGAAGGTAGATGTGATGCATTCTTTCTGGGAAATATAATATTTCTGTTCGAGAACTTCTAAGAATTTTGTATTTACTATACAGGATGGCAATTTGAAAACTTACCACCCCCCATGTCTTAGTAAATAAACGAGATATTTTAAAAAATCAAAAGCCGTTTCGGTAATTCGGAGGGGGAATCACAAATGACATAGTTGGCGACGCACCCCCTCCAACCCCCTGCGCCCCAACCACCCCAACTTTTAAATCTTAAATGTCATTGTGATTCCCCCTCCGAATTACTGAAACAGATTTTGATTTTTTAAAACATCTCGTTTATTTACTAAGTACATATAAGCGGATGTGTGTTTATTGACGCCGATTTGAAGAATCCTTTGAAAATGTAGGATGCCCGTTATTAATGAATGCTTTCACTTTGGACTTGTTTGTTGTTTTCTTGTTAATTCTTTGATAATAATTCTATGATAATAAATTCATCTGAATTAGTAAAAAAATGAACAATAATCTAGTTGAACAATTCCGGTGCTTTTCAGATTTAATTTAATTGGTAGCCTTATTGATAGAATATCAGCACTATTACTATAAAAAAATCTACTTCATCTCTAGGCCCATCTCCTAAATTTCTTCGCCGAAAATCGAGAAATATTTATATTTTCGCCATAGATGGTCACTAATACTCGGTGATCGGTCACTAACTTACACTTTTTCTAATACAAATACTGATTAAATTTGACTACTTCTAAAATTATTGCCAAGCCTTCTTTTTCGATCTGTGAACTCTATAGGTGTTTATTTATTTATTTATTTATTAGCCCTCTCTTGTTCTGGGTCCTCAACAGGCTTGTGCCTACTTACAGAGTGACCCGCATAATGCTTTTTTTCTATTTCGGTGTCACAATGATGATTTTGTACAACTGTTTTAGGCCGAAAACAGTTGTACAAAGACAGTGATTATAGTCGTTTTTTTTTTTGGTAACTCATCTCTTAAGTTGGCAGTTACTAGTTAGTACAAGTAGGTACTTCGTTGGGTACTTCCGTGTTTGAACTTCAAAATGTCAGTCTTACTACGCTGCCAACCTAAAACTTAACGGCATAAAAAGTGTTCCCAACATAAAACATGTTAGTTCTAATGTTCCCTATAGTTTCTGATAATGATTTTTTTAATTAAATTAAAGCACCGAAATAGAAAAAATAGTATGAAAAACGCGTGTTACAATGCTTTATTGTAATACTCCTATCTTGCGGTCACTCGTGCCTACGCTTCGCGTCGCCACTCGTGCCACAAGATGGTCGTATTACAATAGGTCGCATTGTAACACTTGTCTTTCAATATACTATTAGAGGTGCCTCTGCACCTTTGATTATAATTAGTAGTCTATATTCAAAGCTCTGCACTATACTACTCCGGTATTTACCTTACGAATTAGGAAAACTGCAGGAAAACCTAATTCGGAATAGCCGGCAGAATGATCGTAATTGGTCTAAAGTAATTCCCGACCTCCGGATTATAGCCCAACGCTCTACCATTGAGCCATAAAGCCTCTAAAGCAGAAGATGCAACACCGCTCATATCATAAGAACTTGCATGTACAGTTCATATAAGTGGCAAAGTAGGGCGAAAACACAGTAATAAGGAGCTGCGATAAAAACCGACGCGAGTCGTCAATTTTGCGCTGGTTTCGTTTGGTATTTTCAGCCCGGAACGATTACACATAAAAATGGTGGGTTGCGGTTGATGGAAGCTGTCGAAAGGTTGTGGGCGCAGACGGAAGTCGATTCCGTTTCACATTTTTAGTACGCAACGATAGGAAAGAGACAGAAGAAAAAAAGAAAAATTTAGATCAGTTTTATGGTTCTTCGTTCCGCACACTTTGGAAGCGTCACCCGGTCGTTTTACGTATCCCGTGGTGAAGTTAGAGTTGTGTGCACGCCGTGGTCCTGAGGTGGGAAGGCCCAGACTTCAGGCAGCTTCCGTAAGTAGTTTAAGCATCACGTGTACGTCCGTCTACGTGGAAATCCATGTCCAAGGTTCTCAAGAACTCCATGAAACCGAGGAAATTTAGGAAGTGTGATGACTTGATGAGCTAATGGTTCAAAGTAGTGGAGGAAACATGGGAAAGTGAAGAAATAGGGAAAGTTACGAATATGAAGTCAACGGATGGAAGGAATGAGCAAAAAATTGTAATTGCAATTAGGGATTGTTTTGGTCTATCGACACTTTGTAAGATATGAGACACAATTTTGATTTGCACACAGGAACGTGTGGTCTTGGCGGTTGTTAGCTGCATACACAGCAGTCTCGTCTGGAGCTTGCAGCTGTCTGGAAATCCACTTACATTTAATATTTCATCTTAGTACCTACCAAGAAAACGAAATAAAGATTTGTTCAATTTCGTTTATCTTCAAAATGGATCGCCAGTAATGAAATTTTTTATTTTATTATTAGATGCTCGCCATAAATAATCCCTTACTAAATAGTCTGGGCACTAAAAGATTTTTATGATCGCTTCTCATCATAAAATTCGGAGTTAGAGAATACTTAATTTTAAATAGATTGATTTTATTGCCAGTAAGTAATTAAGGAACAAATTAAAACACTCAATTTTTATTTATAGAAATGTTAACGATCTCTGCTTGCCGCAAAATACGCAACAACTGCATCGAAACGTGAGTTTCACATTTGAATTATCAGTTTAATTTTAAATATCTAGTGCCATCTATTGTGTTTATATCAAACGCTTAGCAAAGTTATTAGATGTAACTTCTTCTAAAAAATCAAAGAAAATTCTACTTATGTTATCTTTGTTAAAGTCGTTGTATGGAGCAATGGTTGTAGAGATGGTGCTGCAATGCATTTATACCAAAGAGTAATAACCCACGATACACACCGATATAACCCGTTGATGGCTGTGGCTTTATAACCATAAAAAGTATTGTTCTGCGTTCTGTGGATATAACCTATATCGCCTTCCCCATAGACAAGTTCCTTGCCATTGATTATACAAGTGTGTTATGTGTATAATTACAGATTTAAATATCAGGCCTTCATTCAACGATATAACGTATCTATGCTATTATATTATATCACAATCACAAATAATCACGTACGGTATCGTCGGTATCTCAATCTATATACTCTTTGTAAACTGTTTAAGTATTGAATGTTTATATCTTTGTTTATTCATAAACAAATCTTATACCTTTTGTTTAGTTTATAGCTTAGATCGTGTAATTATATTCCATGTAAATAGATCATTGTATATTTAATACTCGATTTAGTATCAATAGGTACTCATATGATCAAAGTGTTTACTATTCTCACAATTTTGGGGTGGTGATAGTGCAAATCAAACCTACTTAATTTTTGTATCTTTCTGAATGCTTATGGGCAGTTACATTGGTCAAGGTAAATCGTTTTTGTGGTTATGATTATAGGATTAAAAAATAATTGTTAAGTAGGTGCCTAATGGATGACAACGTTGTCTTAGTTAAAATTGAACCAAAACAAGAAGAAGAAATAAATTTGTCCATTGAAGGAGACATTCTTGTAACGGATGTTTCTTTTGAAACTATAAAGGGAGAACATAATGGAACTACGACAGGTTCACCATATTGTAGGCAAGAGTACAATGGAGATCAAATGCTGCAACAAGGTCATTCCTCAAACATTAAATGTGGAACTGTAAAGTTTAAATGTGTGGCTTGCGATTACACAACGGGTAATGAACCACATTTTAAAATACACCTCGTGACGCACAAGGATACTGAAGATTTTAAATGTGCAAAATGTAATTATGCAACAAATATTAAACGCTGTGTTGAATCGCATCTCTTAACTCGGGAACATTCGAAATGTTTTAAATGTGATATTTGTGATTATACAACGGACACTAAGAGGAATCTGAGAAATCATGATCAAAAACACACGGTTTCAGAACTTTTTAAATGTGACGTTTGTGATTATGCAACAAAATGGAAGTACAGTTTGGAGCAACATGTCGTAAAACACAATTATTTGAAAGATTTAAAATGTGATATTTGTGGTTATGCAACAACGAAGGCCTATTTAAAAAAACATGTTTTAATACACAGTTATTCAAAAGATTTTAAATGTGATTTTTGTGATTATGCAACAAACAGGAAGGGCAATTTGAAGCTACATGCCTTAATACACAATGATTCAAAAAAGCTTAAATGTGTAATTTGTGATTATGCAACGAATAGGAAAGACCATTTAAAGCAACATGTCCTAATACACAATGATTCAAAAGATCTTAAATGTGATATTTGTGATTATAGAACAAATACTAGGACAAATTTGAGGGGTCATGTTCTAAAGCACAATGTTTCAACCGTTTTTAAATGTGACACTTGTGACTATGAAACAAAAAGGAAGCGGAGTTTGAAGTTACATGTTTTAATACACAATGATTCGACATATTTCAAATGTGATATTTGTCATTATGCAACGAAAAGGAAGGGCAATCTAAAGCGACATGTTGTAGTACACAGTGATTCGAAAGATTTTAAATGTGATATTTGTGATTATGCCACTAACAGGAAGGACAGTTTAAAACAGCATGTCTTATTACACAATGATTTGAAATTTAAATGTGACATTTGTGATTATACAACAAATACTAATAGGAATTTGAGAGGTCATGTTTTAAAACACAAGGTTTGAACAGTTTTGAAATGTGACGATTGTGACTGCAACAAAATGGAAGCACAGTTTGAAGATACATGTCTTATTTTTAATAAGCAGTTTGAAATTGCATACAATCATTCTTAGCACTGTAATTGAGCGTCATCATATATGTACAGAATGCTAATTGTACTTTCAAGTAATTAGCTATGCTAATAATTACCTACTATAGGAATAGTAAATTTGGCAAACCACAGGGATTTAAAATGCTCTACCTCTACTTTTGGGTTTTACCACTTGCAAAACAATTTTTTCTCATTTGTTTTAGCGGTGGTGTGTGATTTCATCACTGTCACTGATTTACGCAAGGGTCAGAAACAGATTAAGTAGGGAAATGAGTGTGTTTATTCAGAAATTATATTGCAAATAACAATAAAGTTGTCCAGTTGATAAAAATACCTGCTTATATTTTTTAATGTTAATACAGGTCTAGACCATTTGTGAATGTAACGAACGTTAATTATCAAAATCTTAAGTAAAAATAAAAATTTAATAAATATATATGTTATTTGCTAGGTATCTAAACCTATCTAAATATAGATATTGTATCTTTAGCATGTACATCTTTGGACAGAATTAAACAGTATCAAGTTTCAATTGTTTTGCTTCAGATTCGGCTTGTAATGCATCAGGAATATTATTAACAAACAATTGATAAAACCGCATCGTTGCCGTTGGTCAGTTTACTGATGTGAAAGGGTGGCGTATTTGGAAAAAAGCTTAGAAATGGAAAGAGATTCCTAGTCTAAGGCTAAGAAACGTCTATAGTCGAAGGGTAGTATAAAGGTACTGGGGAAGTGACTCACACAGGCCCAGATGGACATATTTCGCGCCTATGGGACCCTTGAAATCTCCTGCCTGCGCCATCTAGAAACTAGGATGAAAAAATGACTGGATTGCGACAAAGCTTAGGCCGGAGCGCTCGAAAAAGTCACGTGACGTTAGGAGTCATATGAAATACTCGTACATTACGCCACTCGTCGACTTTAGATTCAACTACTCCAATGCTCTCGCCTCGCCACTGATCACTATGGTAGTGTCATCTGCGTACATAAATACCTTCCCTTCATGTAGATGATGTGGGAGATCGTTAACGTGCAGTAAAAAAATCAAGGGGCCAATTACGCTCCCTTGGAGAGTAACCATGTTTCGAGTACGATATTGAGATGCCCCAACCTTAGTAACATCCTGTGAATATGATTGTAGATACGAAGCACCCTATACATCATGTTAGTTACACATGCTGCCAACCGAAATCTGGTGGGATTACAGAAAAGGGAAAGAGAGCGAAGATGAGACGGATGGAATTCTTGGAAGACCACATGTGTTTACCATTTCAAACACCTGCAGTCCAGTTTTTTTCCTAGAAATGCGTGAAATGCAGGGAATGGGCGATTTTCGGGTGGTTTTTAGGGGTGTTAGATCAAATTACCGCGTGGCCTGGGGTGGTCAATAAATACGATTTAACATGGTGTGTTCAGGGTCTTTTTCTTGTAACCGGCTTAAGTGTAAAGTACGGCTTATCTTGAAATATTTGTTATACCTTAATCATTGCTGTGTGCTTTTGTTTTTTATATCAGGTGAGGTATTTGCTTCTTTATTCAATTAATCTATAAATGTGTGTAACTTAAATGCAGATTGTAACCCTTTACTTATGTACTTACTGGATTCAAGCACTTGCACCTCTTAATGTGTAACCTTTGTTGGTATTGCCAATCATGTTTCATTGTCGGTATGGCTGTATCTGTGCTGTCCATATTTGTGTATTGTGCTTTTTAGTCACTCTCGATTATTTCATTGCATTTCATTATATTTGCTTATTGTGGGCTGTGAGTAATCTAGAGGGAAAAGGAGATCGAGTTAAAGAGGAGGAACATGGGGGAATATAGGAAAGGGAACATTACCAAAGGATAGGAACATCGGAAACTAATGAACACTCGGAGAAGAAGGTACCACCAGAAAGCAGAGTTCCCTCTAAGGCAGATATTGCAGTGGCGAAGCTGTGGCCGTACCCGTTAGGGTCGGATAATACCCAGTTAGTCCCCCCCCCCTCCCCTCCCAATCCACAAAATCCACCACATTGTTTGGCATATGTCGCGGCCCAGCGCAATGGCAACAATGAACAAAGTGGTGGGGATACACCCGTTAGTACCTACCAGGGACACATCCCCACGACAGTTGACCAAATTCTGGGAGAGGCGGCTACGCCAGGCATATGCCAAAGTATCAATAAATTAAATAAATAAATGACTTCGTTCGAAACAAATTACCTTTTGCTCTAATTAACGGGCAGAACTTAGTATTCGACTTTGACCCATATCAACTAGTTGTATTGCTTTAATGCATAGCAACGTAGAATTAGAGCTTAATGTACAAATCATTTTCTCTTGAATAATAAATTAGATTTTACTTTTAACGTCTCATTTTGTTCAATTATCCGAAAAATATAATGTTCCACACTAAGTATTAATTTGGTTAGTTTTCCGGTGCCCTTTCGACTTGTAAACCGCTCAGAAATGCCAGCGTGGTGCTTTGTTGTACTGCTATGTGTGGTGACGCAATACGCGAATAGTGACGAAATTGCAAAATTGCAACCGAAGAATTTGGTTCCTGGGTGTATTGTTGAGGTATTACATAAGGTTTTTCCTAAGAACGTATCCTTCGCTTATATTTTGAATGATCACCCAGAATATTTTCCGAATAATTTCAATGTTCCTCGTGTAATCGTCAACATTAGTCGCCCGATTAACGGATATTATGGTAACTATGAAAATGATTACGTTATAGAAGCGAAAACAGGGGATAAGTTAATAACGACCATCCACAAGTTAATCCGAAGTCCTATTTGGGAACGTGGAAGGACAAACCGTGGACGCTTTCTTCTAATCACCGCGGAGAAAAATTTAACTCTCACATTTCGTGTTTTTTGGCAAATACATATTATAAAAGTGGTCGTAATTCAATACAAAACCGAATTTGACGGACAAAATGTAACTGTTATTACAGGCAATCCATTTGACGAACGAAATGGTTGTGGGAAAGTGCCAACAGCTTTCCGCTACCAACAGTGCGATTCGAGATTGTCTGTTATATTTGATGAGTACGTTCGAGATTTTGGGAGATGTGAAGTAATTACAGGAGCAGCGCAATTCGGATTGAAGAAACCATTCTATCTACCAGATTATATAATTTTGTCCATGTTAGAACTGATAGAAGAGTTTTTAAATGCAAGAGTAATACGCTCTACTGATATGACCGTTAAGGAGTTTTACGAATTAGGGCGACATAACGCTATGGTGATATTGTTGGTTCAGTATGGATTGACTGTTTACGTTGACACTAGCAATGAAATTTGGACGGAAAGTTTCATCTGGATAGGACCAACACCAAAAGTTATATCACCATGCGTTACATATTTTATACCATTTAAGGGTATCTTATGGATAATTGTAATTGTTACGCTCATTGCAGTAACCCTGACTTGGTGGCTTATGCTCTACAAGACCGAATCTTCTAGAACTGTTTCAGCTATCTCTGTTGATGTGATAAGCCTACTTTTAGGCGTGTCCATATCCACCGAAACGCGTAGAATTGCTCTAAGAATTCTGATTATCTTCTATCTAGTATACGTCATCCACATTCAAACAGTTTATACATCAAATTTGATCAATATCTTGATATTGCCTAAGTACGAGAACTCAATTAACAACATGGACCAATTGGAAAAGAGTGACATGGAAATCTACGTCCCCGAATCTCTTTACGAGTATTATTTAAAAAACAATCTTGAACATTATGAGGGAATCAAGGGCAGGCTGACTGTAATCAAAAATGACTACACTTCTTATGTAAAAAAATTAAACCATACAAATTACTTCATAGTAGGACGAAGGTCACAAGTGACAACGTTCAAACAACATGCATCTGCTGTAGCAAACTATTTAAAAGGAAAAAAACAAAATTTTTTTTTTTGTGAATTTTCAGGTTTACTTCGTCAGGTTAACTTTGCCATGTTCAAGGGTAGCTACTTCCTTCCCAGCTTAAATCGAATAATATCTTATTTATATGAATCTGGTTATCATAGTTGGCTTACGAACAGCGTTGACTATACCTACAACGCAGAACCTGACGTCCGAAGCTATGAGATAGCTGAACTAGCTCAACACGATTTCCAAACAGGATTGAAGCTTATTCATGTTAGCGGTGCTTTTTTCATTCTTGCGCTTGGATATGGAATTTCTGTTGCAGTTTTTCTTATGGAGTGTGTCATTTATCGTGTCTCGGCGAGAATGCAACGAATAATTGTGCTGTAAATGTATTTTACACTTTTTAGAATTTCTGACTCTGTTTCAGTAGACGTGATGTACACCTACCTGTGACAATTTTGAAGCATTCACATAAATGCAAAAGGTTCATAGCGAACCAGAATCTTGCAATCCTTTAATCTAAAAAAATATAGATGTGTATTGTTATGAATTTTTAAACTGTTTGAAGTCTTTTTTTGAACACTATTATACAACTTGAATATGTATCAGTACCTACTTATATTACAATTTCTGTTTGTAAATCGGACGTAATGAACTTTGTCAAATTGAAATAAAATAAAGAAGTAGCAAACAATGTGTTTAATATAGAACAATTTTGCATTAGGTAATTTTGCAATTTTAGTCTTCTTTGATATCGGTAATTTATTTCCGAGTATTTATTTTAAAGAGTGCTTGGACATCGTCACTGAAAAACTCTACTATTTTCAACCCTTAGGGCGTTTGCCCACAGGACGGTAACGGCACGATTTGACGCGCGCGATAAATCGTACGCGATATCGCGACGACCAAAATTCATAAATTTGTCACGCCCATTGGTTAAAAAATGCCGCGACGATATTTAAAACCGTCGCGGCCGGACGTTACCGCACAAACCCGCGATTTAGCGGTCAAAAAGCGCGCAAATTCGTGTCGCCTGACTTTTGAACGCCAATAGGGTTAAATGATTTCTAGCCGACACGTCGAAATTATCAACGATATCTTTAGTACTGTGTTGTCATTTGGTGCGTGCTCTCTCAAAATGGGATGGACCCAATATTGCCTTTGAGTCTGGATAGCTTGCCTTCTTCGGCGCCTACGTAAAACCATCGCTAATAAAATTAATTTCCTTCGATCCATCACTTCGAAGCTTACAGCACCAACTGACTAAAATCGATCTGGCAACACGGAATATTAATCTAAACAGATTCGCACGATATCTACCGCGTAGTGGGCGAGCACTCAGCGGATGCGGCGCGATATATCGCGCGCGTCAAATCGTGCCATTACCGTCTTGTGGGCAAACGCCCTTAGACCAAGTTTTGTTCCACGCCTTGAACAAAATTTCTTGAAATTCTCTTTATAAAGGCCGTATTAGACGATGCAATTTTTATTGCAATTTTTGCAGCAATTCATTGCCGCAAGAAATTGCACGAAAAATTGCTCCGTGTATGTTAAAATTGCACGTGCAATTTCTTGCACCAAATATTGCAGCAAGACATTCTGCAATTTTCTGGTTATAGAACTTGTGCTATTTTTCTTGCAATTTTTCTTGCAATTTAGTAACTATTTTAGTAACATTTAATTTATAAAAAAAATAAAGTGGTATGCACTGGAGAACATTACCTCCTTATGCTATATACAGGTTTGTTATTTAAAGTTAAAACTGAAATAACCTATTTACGAGGAATTCAAAAATGGATATTGCTGCCGCATCTTTAGTTATTGCGTCTGCTGTTGCTCTTTTAAAAAAAAAGAAACATAGAAGACGACGACATTTTTGGACCAGGCAGTGGCTTGCCAATAACGATTTCACAAAGGGAAACCTAAACCTACTCAATGAATTTAACGAACCTGATGGCCGTTTACACCGACATATTTAAGCCGGGCTTAGCTTAAGCGTACCTTAAAATCCATGGCAACCATTGTCTCAATAATCGTTGCCATGGATTTTAAGCTACGCTTAAACTAAGCTCCACTTAAATTTGTCGGTGCAAACGGCCATGAGTGTGAATAAGTGCGTGCAAATATAAATAATAAATTGCACGGCCTTCAACAAAGGAAACGTCACAAAACACACGTTTCCTGGTCTACAACAGACGTGAAGTTGCTTTCAAGTATTTCCCAGTGATGCCAATTCCACTTTCATTGGCACCAATACATGATTAGAATTGGGTATAAAAAAATTGCCAAATAAATTGCATAGTGTAATCATTGCATCTTTTTGCAATAATTGCTGCAATAATAGCAGCAATAGTTGCTGCAAGGATTGCAATAAAAATTGCATCGTCTAATACGGCCTTAAGGTGTATGAGGTAAAGGACGGAGGGCGTTTAAGACAGTCACCGTCGCACTACTAGCTCAAATCATTTTAGTACCCATGGAACGTTGGACCAACCAACAACGCGCGTTCGCCATTTGCACCTCACCTAGCCCAGAGACTTGTTATTACAGTCTCTGACCTAGCCCAGTACGCCCTGAATGAAGAACAATGTTTATAGCAAGATGGAGCAACGAGCCAAACAGCCAGAGGGAGTATGATCCTGAAAATTTTCGGATGCGCCTTGATGAGTACGTACTTTTTCAGAGAGGGATGTTTTCCTGAATATTTTTGAGGTGCTGTCACGAATGCTAGTTACGCTGATTAATACCACGAGCGCTTGCGCGAGTGGTATTAAAAAGCGTAACTAGCATGAGTGGAGGAGCAGCTCAAAAATAATCTACAAATACTTCGACTACGAATGGTATTCGGAGGACTATTCAATGAATCAAAAGAAAAATTAAGCATAATTACCCACGCGAATGTATTTCCATGACAACAACAAACGTCAAAATAAATTATGGAAGTTGCTTTTCATTTTGCTATTGATTCTATTCGAACTTTTGTGCTCCAAGCTAATTCGTTATGAGTGATTAAATTAAAAGATGTGGTGATAAGTCGGTTGTCGAAATTGATTAACAAACTAAGAAGAATGTTCCGGTTAATACGACAAAATTTCGCGTCATTTCACTGGTGGAAGTTTGACAAATGTCATTGAATAATCGCATTGAATTGTCGTTGAAATACCACACGTGAAATTATCCCCTAAATTACACTCGTGCATCAAAATAAACCTGATAATTTTTTATTCAAGCATGTTGTCAGTAAAAAACTGCATTCGGTCATTTTCATATTTTGTTAAAAGAGCCCTCCACCAAAATATGAAAATAAACTCATGCAGTTTTTAGACAACATGCTTTCAAAAAAATTATCGGTAATTTTGATGCACTTGTGCAATTACCTACGATAACGTAATCTTTAAAAACTGAAACATTAACTTTACATTAATTAACGTTTTTTTGAGAAAAAAAAGTAAAGTAAAGTGTTTCCGACCTCTACATATATACGCGGTGGACTTGTTAGATAATTGGACGTTAAAATGAAAATGTATGTTATTGATTTCATTTGATTTTATTGTCGATTATTTCAAAGGAAGTATTGACATCGTCATTTAAATCACAAACATTATGTATACATATAAATAAGATTTGGACTAGAGTTTAGATTTTAAAAAAAGGTAGGTACCAATATCACATATAAAAATCAAATATCAAATATCACAGTTGATAGCACGCCGTAACAAATTCCTGAAATGAATAAACTAAACAAATATAAGAAACGAGCTCCTGGGTATGGCTATAGCATGTGCAAAACCAAATTTTAAACCTGATGTTAGTTTTGCTTTTATTTAAAGTGTATATGTATGAAATTTCATTTAATTGCTTGAATAAATAAGAAAGTTGGCACTGCACATCTTGCACAAAACCAAATTTGGAAAATGGCACTATATTTGCTTTTATTCCAAGTGGTTAAGTATCAAATTTCATTTGAATGCCTCCATAAATAAGAAAGTTGGCACAAAACCAAATTTTGAAACTGGCGTTAAATTTGCTTTTATTCAAAGTGCATATATATCAATTTTCATTTAAATAAATATCTTCATAAATAAGAAAGTTTGCTATCCGGTTTGTAAATGGTCGTGATGCGAAAAGGGCACTGTGAATGTTGATCGATTGGGTCCAATTTTTGGAATTGCGTTTTATATGGCTAAAGCTATACGCATATTGAATTTCATGCAATTCGGTTCATAATTAACGGAGTTGTCGAAAGGGCCTTCTTTATTTTTTGGGCTACATTGCCAATTCACGAACTCCAATGTACAAATTTGATAAAGAATCCACCTGCAAAATTTCATTGTAATCGGTCCATTCGTTTATGAGTTATCGTGCTAACGGACGGACGGACGGACGGACGTCGGTGTCTACCGCAAAATTATAACCTCGCTAGGAGCTCGTTAATAATTGTTAGCAATCGCTTTTCAAATTGTGTTTGTGAGATTTAAATTTACATTAAACTTATAAAATTAAAGATATTATTAGTCAAAAGTATGGAGTATTATCTTATATCTTCGTTAATATGAATTTTGCATAAAGTATTTTAGTTATAAGTACCGTTGAGTTTTCACTCAACGGTTATACCTACTCGCATGAAAGTGAAATGGGAAATTTGTCTTGTCCGCCTATGAGGCCTGGTAAGTATCGTAGGCTTTCATCTTCATTCTATGAATGAATAAAAATAACCTATTATTTATATTATATTTATAATATAACGGTTATAGTGACCGGAGCGTCCGCGTGTCGTATCCGTACGGTTCCCGTTGGTCACCGTCATGTTATACACGTTATCCTAGAGATTGGTTAGACGCTGCAATATAAACATGTACATTTGTTAAATAAAAGCTTATTCCACGATCTATTGGAATTATTATCCAAAAATTATATCTACTTCAAATTTATTTATTATATAAATTAATTCGTCAGGTAAAGTTAAACAGTTATCGTATAAATATTTTGTGTGCATATACTTATCCCTGCAAATTTCATATTTAGCGCCTCCGATTTAGTTCTCATTTTAGTCATACCCAGTGATGGCGCTGCAGATGTTGGCTTCAAGTTTTATATTAAATATTATACGACGCTAGCAGTCCAGGTTTAAATGGTCGAAGTCTAGAAAGCACGAACGGGGGTTACGTTTGGCATCTTGTCTTGAATGGCGGTCGTGAACGCGTCTCTCCATAAATGTTTGTTGTGATTTTGTGATATTTAATGCAGGATGCAGATAGTAATTTTTGCATTTCTTTATATCGTATTTGTGTTTTGTATGCCGCATTTTATATTTTCTGTGTGTTTCAATCCTTGTTTTTGAAATTTACTTGGTTTAACCGTAATGCAGAATCACATGTGTGATATCGTTATGCTATTGTTTGTAATTGTTTACGTTTTTTGTGTAATGTTTGCTTAATTTATGTTTATTAATGTTGATTACTTGGTCTGGTCCCCGAAGTAACATTCATATAAATATTGATCATTTTATTTTAATATGTGGAAATTACCGATTCGTTTGATGGATGTACTGACTTGTTGTTTGTAACTAACCATTTTCTCCGGAATGAAGCAGTTACGGGGGTGGTAAAAACTGTAGTCAAAATTGAGCTACGACACCAATTCCGTGATTGTCTTCGACATTCAACTGTAGGCTCGAAACCCCAAACCAGGGGCGGGCTATCGCTCTTTAGTTTAGAATCTATGTACGATAAATGAGTGGCGATTCAATAATTTCCACATATCGTGTTTTTAGTTAAATTTGCCTACAAGGCCATGTAATCTTCCATCTTGCTTTTAACAAGTCACATCCTGTGTATTTTCCCCGTTCTTAGAACCTTGGTACCTGCTTACTTGATCCATAATTCCCAAAACTTGTTTTTAACCTATATATATTACCTCTTGAAGTCTACATGCTACTTTTTTTTGTTGTTACAAGTTTATGTTACGTATTCACATCATTACAAACAATTAATTTTACTACACAATTTAATATTCATTTTTGACGGCTGGTTTTTTTATTGGCAAGTTCTTTTTTTTATCCAGCCTATTTCTATTTTGATTCGGTGAACTCCCATTTTCAAAGTTTATTTTTGCAATGTAACTTATTTTGCCTAAATTTTCGAGCTTTTACAATCAATAATAATTGCGATCATTATTAAACAAACTTTTCACAATTCCAGTGATTTATTTTACGTTTCTTCCCTACTGTGCTTCAGGTCATAGCTTTGTTTACCACTAACGTAAGGGGACCCTGCCTTAGATGTTTGATCACGTGCCACTTTTCAAATTTAAGCGGGATCTTGTTTAGTTTTGGAGGGAATATTCGGGTGGCCCTTTTTAAACGTTGCCGGGTAGACTTTATTTCCGCGACACATGGCGAAAGGTCACGTTTATACTATACATATGGACGCATGCTTCTAAAGCTGGCAGAGGCAATTGGCCGTTTGGTTTTAGCCGGCCGCGAATTGACCAGACTGGCTGGGTTTACGGCGCGTGTCACCCAACTGCGACACGTTCTTTCTGAATTAAATGACGGTAAATACCAACGAACTATGCTGGCGGGTGCGGAAAATTTAAGCGTGAACGGTGGCAGATTAATATTCAGGGATAAAATAATTAAGTTCTTGTAGTGTGAAGTTAGCGTAGAACATGGGGGTTAAGTACAGTACAGTGTTAATACGGAATTCTTTCTCCCCACAGTTTAAACACTGAAATCCACTATACAAACATGTAAATGTAACCATTTGAATTGTGTTTCAGAGAATCTAACGGTAACGTGACGTTATTAAGCCAGCCACGATCATAAAATTGATAAAAATTGCTAGAGGACACCTTAAGTTTTTTCAACAACAAAATTTGCGGGAGAAGGCCTAAATTTTCCACAATCTTAATACAAAGTTCACATAATTTTGTCGAAATGTGAGGTTATGTTACGCCATGGAGTGTGCCTAGTTCTATTTCTTAAGGGGTTATTTTCTGCAGAATTATTTCCCAAATTTGGTTTTTTGTGCCGCCCCTAAAAATTTGCTGCTATAGGTCTGGGCCCACAGGCTCAATGCCAAATCCGGCCCTGACGCATACATGTAAGTGGCATGTGATTAAAACCAAAAAGCGCTGAGAGAAGGAAAAAGACATGGATTTAGTGCTCTAACGCAACATATTTGTATACAAAATAAAAGCTTTTAATATAACAAATTACAGACTTGCACAAAAAATATAATATATAATAATATATTAATCATTAAAAAAGTAATAAAAATATGGCAAAACAATCATTAACAAATAAATACTATATCTAGTAGGTATAAAAGGTAAAAATCACAACGTTAATATTCTTAGAGGTACATATCAGTTCCCAGAGGTTTATCGAAGAAGGAAAAGTTCAGTCGAAAATTGCAGTCCAACATGTTAAAAAATTAAGTAAACATTTTTCGTAAGTTGTGTTACTGTGGCGGTTTGTTGTTGAGGTATTCGAACTTGTGTTACCAGCGTGTCGCGAAGAACTTCTTCGGCTCAACACTTTTGGCTTTTCGTTCCCAATTGTCCTCGGCCGGGACCATTTGTGTAGCAGCTCCTCAACTGACCTCTTTTTGCTTTTCTCCTTGATGTAAAATTTAATGAGTCGCCACTCTTTCTCCTCCAAAATTCCGCTGCGCGAAGGACCCTTTACGTTATCCACAGTTCTCGTCATGAATTTCGCTTTTGACATTAAACCGTAACGTGGAGTGTAGAACAGTTGTCTCAGCACGGCTTTCAAGTTCGAAAGGTGAGTGTTGAGTGTACAACGAAGACACTCCTCGATCGCCCAACGGTGGATGACGCTGTAAATCGACATTTCGTCGGTCACTTGCAGAGTGTCTCTCTCGGCGATGTTGATTAGGTCCAGATATGATAGTTCGAGTATTTCCTTCTGTTTGAGGACGTAATCGGCGTTCTTATCTATCACTAGTAAGCAATTGTGACGTAAGCTGTCGGTTAATTCCTGCACCCAGTCCGTGTCGCGATGTGTTTCGTTTTCGATTATGGGAGGCGCCGATGGTTCGAAATCGTATTTGTTGCTTGTTGGCATTTTGCATTTGGATAAGCTCGAGTATATCATAAGAACGTTAGTCTTATCTAATTGGTGATCGAGATTTTCAATACATTGTTTTACTAGTGGCATGTTTTGTAAGCGAACGCCGGTTGATAGAAGTTCTATGGCCGTCTTCGGCGATCTTATTGGGAGCAGATTCACCTTTATTGAGCTGCAACAAACAGTTCTGATTAATTTTTAGCCAGGTGGTTTTCTACTACTAATACTGAGAATATGCCAAACCAATTGTTTGGAGTATAACGAAGTATTATATATGTACCTATATTGCGTAAATAACAAAAATGCTCAAACTTATGAATTGCAGAAGTGGGCGTTTTCGTCGCTTATTTTAGATAACCAAAGCGAGCAAGTGTTTTTACGACTCTCGAACTCGGTATTCGATTGCATATCACGTGCATGGCTCATTAAAATCTTCTGTGACTAGCACAAATACCACGCGCACATTTGCCCATGGGCGATTCTGCTCTTTTATGTCTAAGAATATGTGTACCAAATTTGGTTCCAATCGGTTCAGCCGATTAGCCGGAAATGAGAATACAGACAAACAGACAGATCCACCGACAGACCAACAAAGCGATCGACATTGAGGAAACAATTACACAAACAAAGAAGAAACGAGCAAAGAAGCAATCGTCGAGGAATTGCCTGAAGTAACAGAAGTTACAGAAATAATCGACGAAGGAAAACCAAAAAAGAGGGTAAAAAAGACTAGAAAAATTCTCAATACAAAGAAGAGCCTATTATTACTGTCACCATTGAAGAAACTGTCCTTCCAAAGACTGTCGAAGATGCCATCACAGTTGAGGAAATTCCTGAAGTGGTTGAGTTGAGATAACCGAGATTGTCACGGAGAACCAAAAAAGGTGCCCAAAATTATCAAACAGGATGACGAAGGAATTCAAACAATGGAAATTGTCACCAGAGAAGACGAGGGCAAAGCGCCGGAGACTATACAGTAATGGTTGAACAAAATATAACGGAAGAAACTAAGAAGAAGTGGAGGGGGAAATCGAAAGTCGCAATCGTTGAAAAACTACCCGAGGCGACTGAAGTGACCGAAGTAATCGCCGAAGGCGGTAAACCTAAAAAAAGGACGAATTTAGGAACATCTTCAAAGAAGAAGATGGATCTGTGCAAACCACCGAAATCGGCACAATTCAATACGAAAAAAGAACCTAAAACCACCGTCACAGTACACGACGCAAACTGTAGAAGAAATGTCCGAAGTGGTTAGCGAGATTGTTGCAGAAAACGATAAACCAAAGAAGAGGGCAAAGAAGGTGCGCAAAATTATCAAAAATGGCGACGACAAGAGGATTGAAATTTTAATAGTTGAAGATGAAGGTAAAGTACCAGAAACGACTCTCACAATAGAAGGAACTGAGATCACCAAAAAGGTGCGGAGGAAGACACGCATCAAAAGCACCAATAATCGAAGAATTACCTGAGGTTACCAAAGTGACCGAAATTACCGAGGAAAGCCAGGAAGATTAATCAAAGAAGAAGACTGTATTTTTCCCGCCTGAAATAGTAACAGTTCAGGATGAAAAGGAGGAGCATAAAACTACAGTCACAGTACCAGAAGCTACCCTTCCACAAAAAATTGAAGATGCTGTCACTACCTGAAGTTGTAGAGATTATACAGGTGGTTGCTGAAGATGGCAAGCCAAAGAAAGGGGCTAAAAAGGTGGGTAAAATGATCAAAACGAACGATGAAGTGGTGCAAACAACGGAAATTCCAACCGTCGAAGATAAAGGCATACCTAGCGCCTGAAACGACAGCCACTGTAGACGAAACAACTGCACCTGAAGCACCTAAAAAGGTTCGCAAGAAGAAAGTAATCATTGAAAAAACTGCCCGAGGTCACAGAGATAATTACTGATGAAGATAAACCTACGAAACGGGTGAAAAAGACTAGCAGGTACTAGAGCCATAACTTGTGAAAGCAGTGGAAGATGCCGTTACCATCGACGAACTGCCTGACGAAACCGAGGTTATCGAAGTCCTTGCAGAAGATGGAAAACCAAACAAGCGAATTAAAAAGGTTCGTAAGATAATCAAAAAGGATGATGGCAAAGTGCAAACGACTGAAAATTCTAACAGTTGAAGATGAGGGCAAGACACGGTAAGTTTCGGTGACCGTGGAGGAAATCGAAGAAATCAAAAGATTCGCAAGAAGAAACTGAAGATGGCAGTTGTTGAAGAATTACCCGAAGTTACCGAGGTTTCAAAAGTAGTCAGTGAAGAAGGTACCTAAATTAAAAAGATAACAATAAAAATGAGGAAGATTGTCAAAGGAGAAGATGGCATTTTGCAGACAAGAGAAATCGTAACAATTCAAGATGAGACAGAAGAACCGAAAACCATCGTCACATTTGAAAAGGATGTTCTTCCGAAAACTGTTATGAAGTAGCCGTTACCGTTGATAAAGTGTTGAGGACGGAAAACCCACGAAGCGGGTCAAGAAAATGTCCAAAATTATAAAAAGAGACGATGACAAAGTAAAAACTACAGAAATTCTGAATGCAAAGCGACTGAAACCACAATGACCGTGGAAGAAATCAAAGCCAAATCCAAAAAGATTCGCAAGAAAAAACCTAAGGAAACAGTCGTCGAAGAACTGCGGGAAGAAACTGAGGTGACAGAAGTAGTTATTGACAAAGGTAAACCTAAGAAGCGAGTGAAGAAAACTAGAAAAATTATCAAAGAAGGGGAACAACAGAGATAGTAACTATTCAATGTGACAAAGAGGCGCATCAAACTACTGTTACAGTACAGGAGGCTGTTCTTCTAAAAGCTGTTAAAGGCACCATTACCGTTAAGGAAGTGGCAGAAGTGGTGGGAGCCGCGGAGGTGGTTACTGAAGATGGGAAACCAAAGAAATGGGTTAAAAGAGTTGCGTAAAATAATTAAAAAAGACGTTGACATGGTACAGGTGACTGAAATGATAACGGTTGAGGATGAACTTGAAGAACCTGAAACAACGGTGATCGTAGAAAAAACTGAAAGCAAAAAGATCCGAAAGAAAAAGCTGACAGATGCCGCCGTTCAGAAGTTAACTGAAACGGCTGAAGTCACCGAGGTCATTTTCGATGAAGGCCGATCCGAGAAAAGGGTGAAAGAGACGCAAAAATGTCAAGGAAGAAGATTGGGATGCCTGAAGTAATCGAGGTGACCAAAATAATTTCCGATCAAGGCAAGGTCTAGTAAGATTGTCAAAGAAAAAGACGGTGTCTTGCAGACTACGGAAATTGATACTAACCAAAACGAGAAGGAGCAGCCCAAAAGGACACTTTACAGTGCAAGAAGTCGTTCTACCGAAAAGATTATGAAGAGAGATGATGATAAGGTTGAAACTACACAGATGGTGACCGTGCATTGAACAAACCGAGAAACCGAGAGAAACCAAAGAAGAAACGCAAGAAAGTTCTAAGGGAACCTGAAGAACTGATCATTCTATCCTTGGAAGGCATTAATGGCGAACAAAGTGTTTTAGACGCCGTGATCCTGAAAAAGATTGCTAAGTTGCACGACATTCCCGAAGTCACTGAAGAATTAAGATGGCCCAAACGACCGTTTCCTAGCAGAAGATGAATAAGTTATCGATATCTTCTCTGATGAAGGATTACCAGAGAAAGCTAGAAAGCGAGCGCGTGGAATTATAAAAGATAAAAGAGTACCCGACACGTAACGGAAATTACTACGATTAGAAAAGAAGAAAAGGTACCAATTAGTGTGGTTGTAAGAAAGAAGAAGACATGACCGATGAAGTTAAGAAGATGATTGAAAGTACGACTGAAATGGAATTGCCAGAAATGATGGACATGACTGAGGTGTTAGAAACAAGTTCCCTACGCTGCTGCTACCAAAAAAACGAACAATCCTACGATCAAAAGACGGAGCAAAGATGATAATATACAATTGTAACCACGTGAGATGACACTAAATCAGTACAAACGTTCATAAAGGAAAGTGTTATTCCTATCAAACGAAAAAAGCACCAAAAACGCCCAAAGAAAACCCAAAAATAAAGTGAAGGTAAGCGTTATTTTAAATGCAAAAGAACAGTGAGTAATGAAACTGCTGAAAGCAAGAAGAAAAAATTCTCTATCAGACGGTTAAACTTACCTGGTTATGTTTTTGTAGGCCTTCCCCGAGTACGAATTTGTGCAATTCAAATCGTGGAGACTTGTTTCGGCCTTAATCATAGGCTCCGATTCCTCAATAGGTTCCTGGACCACAACCACCATTGTTCTGCTAGAGGGGACGGTTATGTTTTACTTACCACACAATAATAAATAAATTCGCCAGTGAATGTTGAGGAAGGAGGCGCATTGCGATGTTGATAACGCAATTGTTTTGGTTTATATCTGAGAGCGCCTATTGGTGAATTACTCGTGGTCTGCACTTGATATTTATGGAGGTGCTTGAGTCACTTTTGAAGTAAAACTCATGATTCATTTCTTGTGAAATCTATAAGCGTAATCGTAAACAATAAATAGTATACGCTTCAAGTACCTAATGTTAGACATCCATCTCACGCCTTTATTTCAGATTATTACTGAGTGACAAAAAGCGAGTTCATGGTTTTGGACCTTCTGTCCGTCCGTCTATCTGTGTGCATGATAACTCATGAACGGTTTCGAATTTTCCAATTCTGTTTTCAGTAATAGGTAGACAGTGGTCAAGCGACTAATTGATTAAATTTTGGTCAATACTCTTCAACCGGGAGGGAACCTTGTCGCTCGTTGTCTATAGTGGTGCAGTTTATTTATTTACATAACATTCGCTTGTGTCATCAAAAATATGCTCAAGCGTATCGATATTGTACAAATACTTAAGATAAATCGGCAATCCACAAAACCGCTACCGCGTGTTTTCATCGATGACAAGATAAAGAACAACATTGTGCAATTGTACAGATTTAGTGAATTTCCCTAAAATTTGGATGGTAGGTACCCATTAAAATTAAGCTCTTTAAAAAAATATTTTGTAAATCTATACAATGTGTCCCAACGAAAACTTGTACCCCCCCCCCCGAGGGGGCTAATTTTTATAATTTTTATGTAAAAATAATTGCTCTTGTAACCCTAACCCTGTGCTAAGGGTTGGGAGGTTTCCATTACCTATACAACCGTTTTTATTTTTTAAAATTGATCGATTACTTATTGAGAAATCGCGCTTTCAAAGTTTAAAAATGAATAAAAGCCGAAAATCTTGATCCAAATTCAGATCTTGCATTACTCAAGACCTCAGCAGTTTTCTCCGGCATTTGGCGATAAATTTTTGTGTAATTCTACAAATATCCGCAGTTGTCGCTAGAAGAAGTTTTCGTGCATCGTGGGGAGATAATTAAATAAAAAAATACACGGACTATTTATTGTCCACACGAATCCCCGCCGGAAAACTTACACTTCAACTTTGGCATTTCAGTTCGTGTATAGTTGGTTGCCTAAATGGCAGTAAGTTTCCGATTATCATGACTTTCGTCGATGATTGTACATACAGGTTTTGCCTTAGCCTTAGCAGTCTTTTTGCGCAAGTATGAAAAATGTATGTAGATGATAAGATAGAATTAAAAGATACGTTGTTGTTGTTGTTGTTGTTGATTGTTACGGTCTGTTGTTTTATTGCCCCGTGATAATCGATAGAAAATACTCCTTGTGTTGATGGATTATGTGGAGCATGATTACTTCACCATCAACAGAAGTGGATTGTCACGGGCAGGAGTGTGGTCGGACATAACGATTGAATAGACGACCATGCCACAGCTTACTTACTATCAGTAAGCTGTGACCATGCGTTCCGTGAAGAGTAAGGGAGGCCTTACAAGGGGAACAGGCATAATCGACTCTGCGTTGGGCGCTGGTCAAATGAGTATAAGAGGAACTTCTGCAGCTGCTTCCTTATGTTATGCTCTTGAGGAGTTTCCTGAAGTTCGTTTCATGAGTGGGGAGCAGTCAAACGTGACTTATGAGACTGTCACCTGAAACTGATCTACAAATGCAAAATATTTCTTTGGCTCGTATTCTTTGTTGATAAACGCGCGTAATATGTTGAGAAATCTGTTGCACTTTTTTTATTGCAGAATTGCTGAAGTTGTGGATGAATGCTTCAAAGCGCATGGAGATTTAAATACCATTGACATTTCCTTCAAATACGGCAGCATTATGTATTTAAGACATAATTAATAATTTGTAAGATGTATCCTATTTACCCACGCCAACTATAGTAGGCTTTTGGCATTTGAATTTTGCAAGTACCAAATTTTTTCTGCTTCTGCAACAAGCCACTGAATGTACTATGAAAAATACACATATTACATAAATGTCTTAGACGTCTACCTATTTTCATTTCAAGTTATCCACATATTAGGTTTGATTTCATTCATTTGAATTCATACAAAAGCGTGGTTAACAACAAACATCTCGTATAACATCTTAGTATCCACCATTCATTCCATAATAGGCGCTCCAAGAAATAAAAGATTATTGGGTCGTCATTCTGCAATTTTTAGTTCAAATGATTGCTGGTTAGAATACATAACCATGAACTATAGAGGGACAATAAATAAATAAAATGTCACATTATCAGGTTACTTTCAAGAATGTTAAATGTGATCAGTGCAATTATGCGAATAACAACAGGGATAAGTTAAAGAATCATCGTCTCAACGCCTAACATTTCCACACCTTTAATTGTGAACAGTAGCCTACAATTACACACCAAAAAATAGGAGATATACCAATATTGTTATATTTATGTAATTTTATAAACTTTATTACAGAAAAAAGTATTACCCTAGTACATTCTTACAAAATGTTGTCTTACAATCAACTACCGTAATTACTAAAACACATTTTAAATAAACTAAACATCATTATCATCTTTACCTACATTCAAATGAACTACTACATATATGTTATTCTTTGACACACTCGCCTTTGAATAACTTTCTATCACTGCCATCAGTGTAATTACGGTACGATTAAGCGTTCGCTTAAAGCGTCACATATTAACACACACAACCTTCTCAAACATTTAATTTGTGAACAGTGTAATTGCGCTATACTCACGATAAGCAAAACTTAAACATTGAAGGATGTTACGTGCACTCTCTGCGAGGTATGCCAAAAATAGTAAAAAAAATTAAATAGTCATTTACTAAAGCACAACACATTGAAGAATAGCCATTGTTTAAATTGTGGTCAGTGTAATTTTACCACAAATAGCACCAAAGGCTGTTTTAAAAGATAATCAACGTAAGGGAAATTCGGGGAGTTGTTCATTGTAATGTTGTACGAGTGCGCTAGAAATTGAATGATAGATTGCGATCTTTATTTGTAATTAGAAAATTAAGATAATTGCCTGTTCAAGCTTGTAGTGTACTTAACCCTAGGTTCTACGCCAACTTCACACTACAAGAACACGGAAATAAAGTCAACCCGGCAACGTTTGAAAATGGCCACCCGAATGACTATTCCCTCCAAAACTAAACAAGTTCCCGCTTAAATGGAAAAGTGGCACGTGATCAAACATCTAAGGCAGGGCCCCCCTTACATTAGTTGTAAACAACGGTCAACGCTATGACCTGAAGCACAGTAGGGAAGGAACGTAAAATAAAACAATAATGATCGTAATTATTATTGACTGTAAAAGCTCGGAAATAAATTACATTGCAGAAATAAACTTTGAAAATGGTACTTCACCGAATAAAAATAGAAATAGGCTGGGGAAAAAAAGAACTTACCAATAAAAAAACCAGCTGTAGTAATTGTACGCATGATTGTAAGTTATCGCGCCAGACTGCACTCATGGATTATGGTTTTGATATAATATTGTATGTTTGGGTTTGAATAAATGAATATTACACCAGCCGTCAAATTAATATCAAATTGTGTTGTAAAATTAATTGTTTGTAATGATGTGAATGCGTAACATAAAATTATAACATCACAAAAAGTAGCAGGTAAACTTCAAGAGGTAACATACAGGTTAAAAACATGTTTTGGGAATTATGGGTCAGGTAACCAGGTACCAGGAAGAAAGGGTGAAATAGACAGAATGTGACTCATCTTTGGTGCACAAAGTCCTTTTGTTAAAAGCACGATGGAAAATTACATGGCCTTGTAGGCAAATTTAACTAAAAACAAGATATGTGGAAATTATTGAATCGCCACTCATTTATCCAACATAAATTCTAAACTGAAGAGCTTTGATTAGCGTAATCCCTCCTCCTGCAAGATAGGTAACCCGCCCCTGGTTTCGGGGTTTCGAGTCTACAGTTGAATGTCGAAGACAATCACGGAATTAGGTGTCGTAGCTCCATTTTGACTACAGTTTTTACCACCTCCGTGACTGATTCATTCACGGAGAAAATGGTTAGTTACAAACAACAAGTCAGTACATCCATCAAACGAATCGGTAATTTCCACATATTAAAATAAAATGATCAAAATTTATATGAATGTAATGCAACTTCTCGGATAAGACCAAGTAATCAACACATAAACATAAATTAAGTAAGCAGTACACCAAAAACATAAACAATTACAAACAATAGCATAACGGTATCACATATGTGATTATGCATTGCGGTTAAACCAAGTAAATTTCAAAAACAAAGATTTTAAACACAAAAAATATAAAATGCAAAGATTATTACTACCTGCATTAAAAAAACACAAAATAACAACAAACGTTTATGGAGCGACGCGTTCACGACCGCCATTCAAGAGACGATGCCAAAACGTAACCCCCCGTCCATGCTTTTTAGATGGCGCAGGCAGCTTTTCCTCACCTAGAAATTGCATGGTTGCCAACTCTCAAAAATGTGGTCAGGCGTCAGGATTAAGGGGTTATATTTTCAAGTCTCAAAATTCACTTTCAAATTAGTACAATTTTACTTAAAAACCTGCTAGAATAACCCGATGTTTACAAACCGAAACCGCTCTCACCGGCTCTCACCTATATACGCCATTTGTAAATTACATCAGCGCCTCTAGCTTCATTCACAATGCAAGAATTAGAAAAACCATAAAACCAGCGTTATGCGTCGTGTAAAAACAGTCATATAAATTGGTTTTGTAACATCGGTTTTATAACTCTACGCCGCTCATCTCATTGCATAGGCGTGACGTTATAAAGCCGGTGTCATTTGCTAGTGCTAACAACTGCAATTTCCGCTCAGGCGGGAAAACTGCAATGCGATCATTACCGCTCTTATGAAACATGATCTTAGTAACGATTTGACGCAACGCATGTGATAATAAACCAATACTAAACAATCCCTCCCGTGTGATCCACTTATTTCCAAAACTAATTGTCAGCATTGTCTTTTCGTTTTACAAAACATCTTGGTCAAGGGTACCTAATGTGCAACGAATAACTACGAGGGTGCCCAATGCCCCTCAAAGCTACCGTGGAATCACCCATGGCTACCCTCCCGGGTAGTCCGATGTATAAGCGTGAGTTTTGACTCTTTGGAAGAAAATAAGCTGTTTTTGCAATTCTATTTCTGTAATGGAAGTAAAGACGAAAACGGAGTTTGAACATTCGACTCGCATGTGCGTGAAGGAATTTCGAGAGGCATATCGTTGATTACGAGAGCGTACGCCGCCACATTCTTCGTGCAGTTAAGCGATTTGACGATACAGGAAGTGTTGCTTATGGAAAATCTCCTGGTCGCCCAACAGAGTTGGCAACGTGGTAACGATCAAATGTGATGCTGTAGAATTTCACTTTTTTGTTGGTGCACGTTGAGGTAGTTAAATACCAATCTAACAGTGGACTCTTCCAATCCAATTAAATGTAAAATTGCAATAAGAGTGTTGAGGTTAAAGGTCTCAAAATCTTTGTCTGTTTTTATTATTACGTCATTTATGACAGTCGAAAGCGCAGTAGCACAACTATAGCGAGCACGAAAACCAGATTATGTTGAGGGTAAAATATAATGTGTTTAAGAAGTTTCCCATTTGTTCTTCATATTCAAACCAGCAGGTGATTACGATTACAACCTTTGATGACTGGATCAATTAAAAATGCCCAATGATATATAGACATGTGACTGGTTTGCGGTTGAAATAAGGAGCCATAATACACCTAATGACCTAACCACGTGTAAAGTTGCATGTGATTAAAAAAACCACAACGCGCTGATAGAACCCATAACAGTAAACAAGGAGTAAACGTAACATTTCCGCCAACGAATTGCACAAGACCTAAAACAAGCAATATACAACATTAACAATGTGTACGGCCCACGATTTTATAAATTTATTCATAATTAATACAGTAGTAATTCACGTTAGGTAATAATATTGCAATAACAATGATTTAGGTGCAAAATGCATAATAATAACTACTAATAAGTTTTCTAATTCATAGAGTAAAATTTATAAATTTTGTTTTACTAAACTTCCTGCTCATTTCTAATTACCTATACCTACTAATAAGATTATACAAAATATTAGGACCAGCCCTTTTTTTCTTATTATGGCACCATTTCAAAGTGCTCTAACGCAACATTTGTATAGAAAATGAAACGGCACTATAAACAATGAAAGCATTAAATGTAACAAATCACAGACTTGCAGCTAAAATATAATATGTCTTAATATTAATCGTTAAAAAAGTATTAAAAAATATGGCAAATAAAACGGCTAAAATAAACATTAACAAATAAATACTATACCTATAGAAGTTAAAATCACAACGATAATATTGTTAGAAGTACATCAAAGAGGAAAAAGTTCAGTCGAAAATGGCAGTCCAACATGTTAAAAAATTAAGTAAACATTTTTCGCAAGTTGTTTTACTTTGGCAGTTTGTTGTTGAGGTATTCGAACTTGTGTTACCAGCGTGTGGCGAGGAACTTCTTCGGCTCAACACTTTTGGTTTCTCGTTCCCAATTGTCCTCGGCCGCGACCATTTGTGCAGCAGCTCCTCGACCGGCCTCTTTTTGCTCTTCTCCTCGATGTAAAACTTGATGAGTCGCCACTCTTTCTCCTCCAAAATTCCGCTGCGCGAAGGACCCTTTACGTTGTCCACAGTTCTCGTCATGAATTTCGCTTTTGACATTAGACCGTACCGTGGAGTGTAGGACAGCTGTCTGAGTACGGCTTTTAAATTCAGAAGGTGAGTGTTGAGTGTGCGACGATGACACTCTTCGATTGCCCAACGGTGGATGACGCTGTAAATCAACATTTCGTCGGTCACTTGCAGAGTGTCCCTCTCGGTGATGTTGATTAGGTCTAGATATGATAGTTCGAGTATTTCCTTCTGTTTGAGGATGTAATCGGCGTTCTTGTCTATCACTAGTAAGCAATTGTGACGTAAGCTGTCGGTTAATTCCTGCACCCAGTCCGTGTCGCGTTGAGTTTCGTTTTCGATTATGGGAGGCGCGGATGGTTCGAAATCGTTTTTGTTACTTGTGGGCATTTTGCATTTGGATAAGCTCGAGTATATCATAAGAACGTTAGTTTTATCTAATTGGTGATCGAGATTTTCAATACACTGTTTTACTAGTGGCATGTTTTGTAAGCGAACGCCGGTTGATAGAAGTTCTATGGCCGTCTTCGGCGATCTTATTTGTAGCGGATCCGCCTTCATTGAGCTGCAATAAATAGTTTTGATTAATTTTTAGCGATTTGGTAAACAGGAAATAAGCAAAATCAATTGTTTTTATCTTTTACGTGGTCACAATATTTTTGGCGACCGTGATAGGACACCACTTGCAATAAGACTCATCTTCAGCATGGAATAAAGGATTAAGTTATTTAATGTCTTCAGGGCATGTGTTCCGATTGGGCAACGCGTAACGTGTGATAGAATCATTAGGTATTTGTTTGCCCGGCATGGACATCGGTCCTATTGAATTATTGTTAGGGGCGGATATTATCAGACATTTGTGTACGGGTCGATGACACCTTTTGAGGTGTGACTTTAGAGACGGTCTTCGGTTGGACAATGATGGGAAAAATCCCTTCCCGCGGAGATGTTTCGTCGATAATTACTACGAACATTGTGTCTCTTTATGTACAGGATGCGGCAATGACCGATTTATGGAAGCTAGATGTTCTTGGTATCACGGAGCCGTCTGCACGTATGGCCACAGACGATCTGTGGTTTGGGTAACGAATTCCTACAGAATGTGTGCAAGAATGAGGAAGGTAAAGTACGAAATAAAATTGCTCTGGCTAGAGCAACATCCTATCTTGCCCACTAAGTAAAGAAATAAATCAGGTACAATAGATATTAAATCAAAAATAGCTATCCGAAAAGAGGACAGCCGACAGCCTATACTTCGAAGGCAAAAACTCATGTGTGGATTGAACAGTCATAGTCGCTTTCGAAGCCAACCGCTCGCTGAAAAGACAGAAAACTTCGCAGAAAATGTTGTAAAGTTATAAGGTAAGGTAAAGCTAGATATTCGCAACGTAATAAAAAGGCTCATCCTCCAGAATGTACGAAAAATACAATTATGTACCGTTGTACAGTTGACCAGTACAGCGAAACACTTGGTTAAACTCAAATCCGGGAATGACCGACATTGAAGGAGAGATAGCCACTTACATACGCCTTCCTAAAGTAGTGATGTACGTCCTGCGTTTACAGAAACTGGTACATATTTCGTTATGTTTTTCAAAGCTGAACAAACATTGTGAAATTACGAACTCGCACATAAAAAATAACCGTTTATTTGATGCAAATCGGTTGAGTAACTTTTTTGAACACAAACTTTTAAAGTCGGCGGATTAGACATTTTACTCCGATAGTAAATAGTTAAATGGAACTGTGACGTCATTACAAATAAGCTAAAAATATTGCATGTGTTTATTTATTACTGTAATGATTAACTTTTGGAACGTTCTAGTAAACTAGGTATTTTGTTTATTGTGTGTTTAGGACTCACCAAATATTTTAACAATTTAGGATAACATTTTGATAGTAACGTGTATTCGAGCTTTCCTTTAAAATACAGGATAGTAATAAATAACACGCTTGTTGAAATAAATTTTGTTATTTAGAGCTGCTATTGAATACACATGCTAAAATATTAATTAAGGGTTATTTAGATGGGTTTCAGTAATTACGTAATTTGGTGTTGACATTTAAATTTCGCATCGCCGTAATAAGCACAAATCGAAAGGTCAAAATCCATGTTTTCTTTAAGTGTATTAAATTTCTATCTAGACACAACATTTTCCCTTATTCCGAAACCCACACCCCCCAGTGGCACCTTCTTTAGGCTTCAGGACTTGCTTGATAGTTGTTGGGGAAGGAAAAGGTTTTCGCCCTAAAGTGAGTAACTTCAGCGCATTTTCCATGGATTCATCGGTACTTCCCAAAAGACCGTAGATATGCGCGCTATGTTTTTCTTTATTAGAGACATCTATGGTTAACATTTCAAAGAAATATCTCCATGAATAAGGAAGTTGACACAGCGCAGGATGCGCAGACTGCGCATGCGCACATACAATGTTTACAACATGAGATATGTTTGCTTTTAACAGAAGCACATGTAAAATGTAAATGTAAAATTTCAAAAAGATATCTCGATACATGCGCACATAAATGGTCAATATTTTTCTTGGCTCAGGTGCCAGAGCTATAAGTTACAGAATTCAAAAAGAACAATCCAAATACTTATATTGAAAACTGTCTTTAAATGTTTTTAGCGCATTTTTGCAAAAATTTTTTTTTGTAAAAAGTAGCTTTTAATCTCACTTTGGCTGGCTGGCTGGCTGGCTGGCTGGCTGGCAGTAAATGCGTGCCCGTAGAAAAACGCTTGTAAAAAGACAAGGAGTGTACATGTAACTATCGGGGCCGTGTAATTAAGAACGTTAGGGTGGGGCTACAAGATTTGGAGTCGACGACATCTGGACGCCATCCCCGAGCGTATTATACTAACCTGGAGATTTTTCAGTTTTTATCTATCTTCTTCTACGGTTTTTCTCCGATTGTTTTCAAATTGGTGTCGTCGGGAAGATCTTGTCAACGCGCACAACTCCTGCGTGGCGGAATTTTGTTTTTTTTCCTAGGGGCGAAATAAACCACCTTTTGCGCGGCGCGCTTCGAGGGGTAGTCGACTTTGGGCGCCCAAAAGTTTCTTACAGCGCGAATCGCTGTCTCTCTTTCTCGTGTCACTAATAGAAGGTCGAGCTATGTGAAGTACCCAAAAGTTGAATACGATTTTATGCCGGGATTTTAGCGAAATCTACCAAAATGTGAATTACGAATGAACGGGACGTCGGAAATGTGTATCGACAAAGGGAATGTGGTAACCCCCGACGAGATCTTACTGATGGTGGAGTCGAAACTTCAAATCCGAATTGTTGCGGGTGATCAGAAGTGGGTGTCGACAAAGGGAATATAGTAACCCCCAAAGGATTTTAATGATGGTGGAGTCAAAACTTCAAACGCGAATTGCGAGTGCACGGTAAATGAGAAAATGGTACCGACAAAGTGAACGTGGTAGCTTTCGGCAAGATCTTATTGATGGTGGAGTCAATATTGGCTAATAAAACACTGATCTGCCACACAAAAATGCGCTGAAGTCCCTTCGATCTCACACGAGGACTTTGATCATTTTTTTTTTTATAATAGTGAACCAGTCTAATATACAAATACAGATTTATCATAGCGTGGTACTTCTGTTGAACTTCTAGATTTCATTTTATGCAGCTTTATTTACGATCGAGACACAAAAAAAGGAAAAAATGATCAAAGTCCTCGTGTGAGATCGAAGGGACTTCAGCGCATTTTTGTGTGGCAGATCAGTGTTTTATTAGCCAATATTGACTCCACGTGAATGATAAGATCTTGCCGAAAGCTACCACGTTCACTTTGTCGGTACCATTTTCTCACTTACCGTGCACTCGCAATTCGCGTTTGAAGTTTCGACTCCACCATCAGTAAGATCTCGTCGGGAGTTACCACATTCCCTTTGTCGATACACAGTTCCGACGTCCCGTTCATTCGTAATTCACATTTTGGTAGATTTCGCTAAAATCCCGGCATAAAATCGTATTCAACTTTTGGGTACTTCACATAGCTCGACCTTCTATTAGTGACACGAGAAAGAGAGACCGCGATTCGCGCTGTAAGAAACTTTTGGGCGCCCAAAGTCGACTACCCCTCAAGCGCGCCGCGCAAAAGGTGGTTTATTTCGCCCCTAGGAAAAAAAAACTAAATTCCGCCACGCAGGAGTTGTGCGCGTTGACAAGATCTTCCCGACGACACCAATTTGAAAACAATCGGAGAAAAACTGTAGAAGAAGATAGATAAAAACTGAAAAATCTCCAGGTTAGTATAATACACTCGGGGATGGCGTCCAGATGTCGTCGACTACAAATCTGGTAGCCCCATCCCTAACGTTCTTAATTACACGGCCCCGATAGTTACATGTACACTCCTTGTCTTTTTACAAGCGTTTTTCTACGGGCGCGCATTTACTGCCAGCCAGCCAGCCAGCCAGCCAAAGTGAGATTAAAAGCTACTTTTTACAAAAAAAAAAATTTTGCAAAAATGCGCTAAAAAGGAACAAGGAACCTTTTTGTGTGTCAAGTGGGGAAATTATTAGAGAGCGATTGGTACAAAGTGTTCTGTATAAGGCATAAGGAGTATTGTCTTCAACGTCAAATCTTGCGAAGGCCCCCAAAGCCGCAAATAAAGAGAAGGAAAAATTTATTCACAAGCCTGTGACATTAATTAAAATGCTTATAAGTGAATTTGTAATTTTGGTCCCTGTATACCCACCAATAGGTAGATGAGGTTCACCATATCCGCACCGAATAGGGCTCTTTGAAGCATATTGTAAGTTTACCTTCCACTTAACCAAATTTCCCAGCTTTGAAAATTTCTTTAATCAAACTTGGGTGTTGAATAAGTGTTTCACAGTTCAATAAGAATGTTTTGCAATCAAGCTTTTTATTGGAAATGTTTACATAATTACGTATATTTTTCGCTTAAAACAAATTAGTTTAGTGCACAACAGATTAGCACAGATATGCAAAGTGCAAAACTTGGTCCAAGTCGTAACTCTAATTTCTTGTTGGCGATATAATTTATGTTGAACACCAAAATACCAGTGGACTGCATCAAAATAAATCAAATGCAATTTCGAAGCAACGAAGCGTGACTTCACAATTACCACAAAGATTTATTAGTAATAACTTGTACTGATACATCGAGTGCGGTCATAATTAAAACAGAGCGACTAAAGTGAGGTCTCTTTGGGTTGATTAATGAGTCGCTGGGGTGATGCGCTACTGCGAGCACATAGACGTCTAATTTTGCTGACTCAGGTGAATTTCAGAGCGCCGTAACAGACCGCAAACACTATGCTTCGTTCACTAATTATTCGTTTATTAGAGAGCATTTATTCTAGTGTCAATATCGTGGCGATCGCGAAAGTTGCTTGAGTGCCAACGTGACCTATCAACCATCTGACCGGAGCGTTAAACCCGAACCGCTCGTGTCCTTTACAAGGGTGGCTTCGAACCACCCTCGTTAGATGCTACGGTGATAAAAAAATACACTTTTTTATGTTATGCTGGAATGCACACAATGGAACAAATTTTCATCTAAACATTTTCAGGTTTTTTTGTCGAACCTCTTACGTTTACTTATTATCTAAATGAAACGGTGCAATCTACTGGCCGATGCTCGCATTTATAAGAAAAACTTAAATGAAGGGCATTGATTTAACCCAACTGTTATAGTATAGTGTTATAGATGTTATGTGAGCGTGGTACAAACAAAGAAAACGAACTTATACAAATCCTGTGTTTTAAGTATGTATCTAGATAGGTAACCAAGTATATTTTACAACAAATGGACTTTAAATAACGTGATTTTAACTTGTTTCCCCAAATACAAGTACAGAAAAGTCATAAAGGCATTAATTTCTGCTTGTTTTGTTCGTCAATACTAACGAAGATATTGAATTTTTAATCTGGATTTCCAAAGATCAACAGAAAAACGTTAATCCGTTAACTGTTAATTAACGTTTCTTTGCCAGTTAACGATGTAATCAGTCCTGTGTTGTATCAGGAACGTCGAACTTATCTGCCAAAAAATGTTATTTTGCGTTATTTAGTATGAGAAAAATAAAATTTTTTAGAGAAACTTGCACGTTATGTTTAACGTTAGGACTGAATTGAGAATTGCCATTAACCGCTCTTTTTAACTTCGTAAGTGTTAGTTCCGTTGCAAAGTTACAAATTTTTCTTCGTGATACCTACCTATAGTTATTGCTTGAGACTTGCAAGCATCTCTTTACAGTTTAAAAGCTATTTATGAAATGCGTACAAAACCAAGTCGACATAAAAATCTTGACGACAATAATAACTTTCCTTTATACCTTCTCGAGCATGTTTTTTGGTGTATTTTTCATGAAAAACACTACGTCGGTCTACGGGTTTTAAATCTCAGCATTCAGACTTCGTAGAACACTGTTTTTTTTTTAATTAATAGGTTCCAATACGCAGCCCCCTTGACATTAAATTGTTGTTGATAGGGCGATAGACCTCTTTGTGTGGATGTGTCCTTTGTAACGGCAGGTTACAAGTGAAACGACGAGCTCTCTGTTTTGGAAGTCAAACTGAAATTTGAGTGCGTCCGCGACGCCACTGGGCTCCTCTGTTAAATGACATATAAACTATTAATTTCTTTATATTTCTAAATTTCACCTCCTGTAATTTAATTTTTTTCCTCGT